CTTTTCTTATCCTTCAAATTATAGGTTAGATTTATATTTCTTATCCTTCAAATTATAGGTTAAATTTATATATCTATCCTTCAAATTATAGGTTAGATTTATATTTCTTATCCTTCAAATTATAGGTTAGATTTATATTTCTTATCCTTCAAATTATAGGTTAGATTTATATTTCTTATCCTTCAAATTATAGGTTAGATTTATATTTCTTATCCTTCAAATTATAGGTTAGATTTATATTTTTTATCCTTCAAATTATAGGTTAGATTTATATTTCTTATCCTACAAATTATAGGTTAGATTTATATTTCTTATCTTTCAAATTATAGGTTAGATTTATATTTCTTATCTTTCAAATTATAGGTTAGATTTATATATCTTATCTTTCAAATTATAGGTTAGATTTATATATCTTATCTTTCAAATTATAGGTTAGATTTATATTTCTTATCCTTCAAATTATAGGTTAGATTTATATTTCTTATCCTTCACCTAATTGGACCTAATTCTGACCCATGTAAAATAAAGAGTCTATGTTAGTCCCCATGGGTTGAATGTTAGACAGGACCATGTCACCTTGGCGTATTAGACCTAATTTTAGCTGAGCCAGTCAGTAATAGTGTTCACAACTGACTGTGGAAATTTGAGCTTTCAAATCCATGTGTGTCCAGAATTATCTGCATTTGAATGTTAAAATTTTCAATACAGTGCATCAGTAATTTGGAATAAATTACCGAAATCAATTCGACAATGTGAATCTGTGTCTGCATTTAAATGTAAAGTGAAAACTTGGTTGTTTAGTTACTATCAATAACTCACCAATGGAGATCACTGGAATGCGCCTTGAGAAATTCCATGAGGATTTAATTGCTGCACAATATAAATATCTTCATTATAAAATGATGACTCGTCAATTTAAGATACACTGTAATATACAGAAAAGATGTATATAGGAATAATGAGTAAAATTCCTAGTTCGAGATATTTGAAAGGAATTATGTGATTTTCGTACATTCAAGCACTTCAGAAGACTATTTACATATATTCAAGACTCAAATCAACCCCCCAAAATGGCGCATCTGTCCCTTTAAGGAAACTTAATAAAACATACCTTATTCTGATACATATTAATAAAGAATTATCATTCGATCTTTTAAAACTTTCAGATTCAAGAAGCGAAATACGAGTTCAGAAAGTTTGTCTGAGAAACTTGACGAGGATATTTCACCTCTACCAGATGATTGGGATGAAGTTTTAAAGGTGGGTTGAGATGTCACCATTTTTCACAGTTCCAGGGTTCAATCCTTGCATAGGTCAAGATAATATCTTCAGATTTTCTGAACTGGTTTCCCTCTCACTGATGAAGGTCATTGGCTGACATGGAAAGATTGTCATGTCTTTGGAATGGGCAGAACCGAGGCCCTGTGTACTACAGACTGTGCACGTTAAAGATCCTTGACAGTTGAGATCGAATAGGAGAAAGCCTTTGCTCCTGCAAAATTTCCCTCATTGTACACTGCCTCTCTTCATTAACAGAAAGAGAACTTCATTTCAATGATTGCTTTCTAGAGAAATCAAGAAGATAGTTCAGATGCTTTACCATCACAATTTTCATCCCAGTTCTCTTATGTAGGTAAAGCAAGTGGGGCTATTAAAATTTTACTGTCATTTCCTTCATTAAATTATTATTATTATTATTATTGTTTAGAAGTTTTCTGTTTATTTATAGGACAGTAAAGAAGGTGACGATATAGCCAAAGCTATTGAACTGAGTTTACAACAACAAAAACATTCTAAGGTATTCATTTCATTATTTATTGAGTTATAGTGCAGGTATTCATTTCATTATTTATTGAGTTATAGTGCAGGTATTCATTTCATTATTTATTGAGTTATAGTGCAGGTATTCATTTCATTATTTATTGAGTTATAGTCGAGGTATTCATTTCATTATTTATTGAGTTATAGTGCAGGTATTCATTTCATTATTTATTGAGTTATAGTCAAGGTATTCATTTTATTATTTATTGAGTGATAGTCGAGGTATTCATTTTATTATTTATTGAGTTATAGTCAAGGTATTCATTTCATTATTTATTGAGTTATAGTCGAGGTATTCATTTCATTATTTATTGAGTTATAGTCAAGGTATTCATTTCATTATTTATTGAGTTATAGTCAAGGTATTCATTTCATTATTGAGTTTTAGTCAAGGTATTCATTTCATTATTTATTGAGTTATAGTCGAGGTATTTATTTCATTATTTATTGAGTTATAGTCAAGGTATTCATTTCATTATTTATTGAGTTATAGTCGAGGTATTCATTTCATTATTTATTGAGTTATAGTGCAGGTATTCATTTCATTATTTATTGAAATGAGTTATAGTCAACCTAAGATATTTGTGACTCGGGGTAACGATGACCAAATTGAGATCAATAATCGACATCAGACTATCGATCAATAGTCGAATAATAATTGAGAGAGACATCTCTGCTCTTGACTGTACCCTATCTGACTGGTTTATTTTCCTCTTTATTTCTATTTTTATTAAAATTGTTTGTTTTAGAAAGAAGAAGAAGATGAACTAGAGAAAGTTTTAGAAATGAGCCTTCAAGATGAACGACAGAAACACAATTCAATAGGTAACTTTATTTTACTCTAAATTTCCAGTATACCTCAAAATAATACATTCATATTTTTAAACCCCTGTTAATGATGTAGGTAAGAGGGGCTGACATGAAAAAAACCTCTAGTCGTTCGAATGGGACAATAAACCGAGGCTCTGTGTGCTACAGGCTGTGCATGTTAAAGATCCCTCTAAAGTTGGAAATCGAAAAAAGAGTAGGCTAATGCCGCTGTTGTGGCAAAATTTCCCTCATTGCACACTGCATGGCGTTGACTATCTTAATTAACCCAATAAGTAGTAGAAGAGTAGTTGTAAAACTCCATTTATTTCAGTTCTGTTTCTTTTTTAAAAATCAAACAAATTGATTGGATTATTCTTGCATTCCTAATAACTAATAATGAACGAAATTTCTACAGATTTAGAGGAAGGTGATAAAGAATTGGCTAAACTAACGGAAGATGAAAGAATTGATCTGGCAATACAGCAGAGTTTATTACAAGCCGAACGTGACTTAATGTATCAGGATGAATCATTTCAATCTAACTCTAGTCAGGACGGTAAGTTCGTATTATTATATACTAAAAGGCTTGAAATATAAAGGATTTACGAGACTTTGGAGTCAAACCATTGGTTAAAATTGCATGTTCAGGATTCATAATATGAACTGTAGTAGGGCTGCAACGATTCACCGATGAATCGATGAACCGCCATTCTTTCCTTCTTATTGATGCATTGCATTGGATAAAAATAATTGTGATGTAATGGCACGATTAATTCTTACCCCCCTATAATAACAAATTACCTTCCATTTTTAATTAACTCTTTTAAATCAAATTCAGTTTAATTAAGAAGATACATAGATATAGATAGTATATTTTAGAAGTAGTTTAGCTATATAATGAATATTTGCAGGATTCCTCTATTAAGTGTTGTTAATTAAAATAACATAAGGTTGGATTTTTGTGAAATTTTATTGTAATATAGAGTGGTGTTTCCTGTTCTATTTCACAATAAATTAACAAGTTTTTAAACCAAACTGAGAAAATTCATTAAAAATATCATCAAAATTTCCTACTAATGACAGAAGAAATTATGTTTGATGATATATTCTAAATTATTTTTTCAGTTGATTTACGATGTCAAGAAGACAAAGAAAATTTGTTTGGTGAAAAAGATAATTTTTTGTTGTCGGCAGAAAATGGTGCTCATCAACCTTCAGACTACTGTAGTGAGAAATTTTATACAGAGGTAAAATATCTAACCTTGAAAACCTATCAGCCTATCTGGTTTTATCCCAGTTATAACCATGATGTTATAATGATACAGTTCGGAAGGTCGAAGATGTTTGCACAATGATAAGAGAAAGTAGAAAGATATATCTTGAATGAAATAACTCACAAAAAATAAAAACATTAAAAAATCTTGGTTAACCATCTTAAAAGATTTTGTCCTTTTTTAAACAGAATAATTGGAGTTGTAGTAATTTTCGATTAGTTAGTATAGTTAATCATATTGGGTCATCGTCTGAAACAGGTTAGTGAATCTTATTATTACTATACTGTATTCTTCTTGGCCCTGTGTACTACACACACAAACTACTTACAAACTCTATCTTCATCTCTGAAAAGTGGTCGGGAGCCAAGGTGGCTCACTGATTTAGACGCTTGCTCGCTAAAATGAACATCAAGAGTTCAATCCTGACATAGGTTGAGATAATACCTTCAGATGTTTCAACCCAGTTTCCCCTGTCAGTGAGTTAGACGCTTGCTTGCTAACCAGAAGGTCCAGAGTTCAATCCCGTCATAGGTCAAGATAATGCCTTTGGATTTTTCAACCCGGTTTCCCCCTGTCAGTGATGCAGGTAAGCGGGGCTGAGATGAAAAAGCGTCTAGTCGTTCAGATTATAATATGATGACTCAGATGTTGGACATGGACCCACGTTCAGGATGTGTACAGGTCAGGAAAAATCTGAAGATTTGGAAAAAAAATCTGCATTCAATGCGTATAAATTAATTAGTTCATGCTCTAATTTGGGGATTTTCTGTAAAGATATAATCCTGATAAGCTGTCATTCTATTTAGTATGTATCATATTTCATACTGTTTATTGTTCCACATAGAGAGTAATGTTACAGCCTCTTCATAAATATTGTTAAATAATGAACAATCAACAGTCTGACTGGCTATCATTCTATTTAGTATACACCATGAATTTTCTACTGTATATTTTATTATATGAGATAAAGATTGGCTATGCGATGAGTGATCGCTAGTTATCAGTGACTAGTTGTTTCGTTCATGGTTGAACTGTTCAGACTGATTAATTTGACTCACATTGAGGGGTTGAACTGTTCAGACTGATTAATTTGACTCACATTGAGGGGTTGAACTGTTCAGACTGATTAATTTGACTGACATTGAGGGGTTGAACTCTTCAGACTGATTAATTTGACTGACATTGAGGGGTTGAACTCTTCAGACTGATTAATTTGACTGACATTGCGTGGTTGAACTGTTCAGACTGATTAATTTGACTCACATTGAGGGGTTGAACTCTTCAGACTGATTAATTTGACTCACATTGAGGGGTTGAACTCTTCAGACTGATTAATTTGACTCACATTGAGGGGTTGAACTCTTCAGACTGATTAATTTGACTCACATTGAGGGGTTGAACTCTTCAGACTGATTAATTTGACTCACATTGAGGGGTTGAACTCTTCAGACTGATTAATTTGACTCACATTGCGGGGTTGAACTCTTCAGACTGATTAATTTGACTCACATTGAGGGGTTGAACTCTTCAGACTGATTAATTTGACTCACATTGAAGGGTTGAACTGTTCAGACTGATTAATTTGACTCACATTACGGGGATCTATGTTTATTTTATTAGGTCATTATATTAGTGACGTGTTTGACATCAAGAAGAAATCATGGATGAGTTTCGATGACTCAAGAGTTACAACTCTAACTGAAAGTGAAGTTTGTGAAAAACGAGAGAAAACTGGCTATATATTCTTTTATATGAACATGTAGGTATTCTTTACTTTTCAAATTATTTCATTTCATTAGTCAATGAGTTACAGAACAGTAGGATATAAAACTCTTTCATTTCATTAGTCCAATAAGATACAGAACAGTAAGATGTAAAATTTCATTTCATTAGTCCAATAAGATACAGAACAGTAGGATATAAAACTCTAATTCATTTCATTAGTACAATAAGATACAGAACAGTAGGATATAAAACTCTATTTCATTTCATTAGTCCAATAAGATACAGAACAGTAGGATATAAAACTCCATTTCATTTCATTAGTCCAATAAGATATAGAACAGTAGGATATAAAACTCCATTTCATTTCATTAGTCCAATAAAATACAGAACAGTAGGATAGAAAACTCTGTTTCATTTCATTAGTCCAATAAGATACAGAATAGTAGGATATAAAACTCTATTTCATTTCATTAGTCCAATACGATACAGAACAGTAGGATATAAAACTCCATTTCATTTCATTAGTCCAATAAGATACAGAGCAGTAGGATATAAAACTCCATTTCATTATATTAGTCCAATAAGATACAGAACAGTAGGATATTAAACTCCATTTCATTTCATTAGTCCAATAATATACAGAACAGTAGGATATAAAACTCCATTTCATTTCATTAGTCTTCAATAAGATACAGAACAGTAGGATATAAAACTCTATTCATTTCATTAGTCCAATAAGATACAGAACAGTAGGATGTAAAACTCTTTCATTTCATTAGTCCAATAAGATACAGAACAGTAGGATATAAAACTCTATTTCAGTTCATTAGTCCAACAAGGTGTCAGATATCAGATGTCTGGTTCCTGTATTCGTGAAATGTTAAACCCTGTAATTTCTGCAAGAGATATTGAAATTATATAAGGTGATAAAAGACTTAGTTTAAATTGCAAGATCACCAGACATCTGATTTGGGTATTGGCATATGGATGCATTAAGAAAACCTCTTTTTATCCTATAAAGAGAATGTGAGATATTTTTATGTTTTTCAGGAATGTTTTTGATGAAATGCAGTCGATGTATGCTGTAGCTTCTTATGCTGATACCAGCTGAGATTATGGTATAAGATATTTGCTGTGTCTAGTTGATATCGGCCTTGAGTTCACTTCTTCTACTCTCTTGTTATCACCAATATGAAACCTGACTGTTATTGTTTCCTCACAATTATAACAATTATACTGAGGTCCATTGCATGGTCGAATAATTAGCCTTAAAAAGAAATGCCCTACTTAACCCTGACAAAGTCACTTTATTGCACTCTTTCTATAAAAGTAGGCCGTAAAACTGTCTTCACGCTTCAAGAAAAAACACTACTGCGCCTAATGTGTTTTCAATTTCATCCATACTAAGAGCCAAGGACACTTCTCGCTGGATGGTGATAAACTGCTAATAGCCAGTGCGTATACTGAAAGGAAAAAGTTTTATCACTATTCTCAAAGCGATACTTTTTCTGTCTGTCATTCTGTATTGAATGTTATCAACAGTTACAGACTTTAATATTGATTAAATTAGTTAACAGAGGACACCAAATCTGTTTTTGAGAAATTTCCTGGATTAAAACTTGGCGAATGAGGCCCACTGTATGCTGAATTTTTGTTATATTGTGTTCTTTGATGAAATGATTAAAATTAGAAGAGGAAACACTATTGAACTGGGTTCCTGTAACATTTAATGTTGACGGAAACTGCCGAATGTCTCCGAATGAGCTATATTATAATCATGATATTGTTAAGTAATATTATAAAGATAAAATCCATTGTTAAATTTACTGTCTTTATATCCTCATGCATATTCAACAAGCTGGGAACGATGATTCTGGTATTCCCCAGTCCCATTCTGTACCAAGCGATCTTCTAGCTATTTGGGAACGATAATTCTGGTATTCTCCAGTCCCATTCTGTACCAAGCGATCTACTAACTATTTGGGAACAATAATTTGGTATGCACCTGTATCAAAAAGACAATATTCTGGTATTCCAGTCCCATTTGCGCAAGTTCCAATTTGACCATAGAGTAAAGCCAATATTCCAATCTGTTAATTTGTTAGACATAATATTCTCGTATTTCCCAGTTCCATTCTGACTACAGAAAACTGCCATCTACTAGCTAGTTAGACACAATAGTTTGGTATGCACTAGCCTCAATTTGACCAAAGAGTAAAGCTAATATTACTAGGAGTTTGTTGGACGTGATATTCTGGTATTCCCCAGTCTCATTCCCACTACAGGAAAAGCCAATATACGGAGTAATCCGTCAGCTAGTATGACACGATATTTTGGTATTCCCTAGTTCAATTCGGACCATAGAAAACTGTACAGAGCTGACATAAAGTTAGTTTTACTAGTCCCTATGAAGTATGGACTCCTATGACACATTCCCTAATTGAAGTAAGGTGTTAATTTTTTCAGATTAGTAATGGCCTTGTGATTCTCTTTTCAATGACATACAGTATATGACAATAATTTCTCAAACTTATTTTTGAAAAATATTGTATAAGTTTTAACTTATTTTTATCAGACATCAATATAATTTTCATAATCAGAATATACACTTTATTCTCTTTTTGAGAATATGTAACATCAATGGATTAGTTATAATAATCCGTATCCGCAAGACAATTCTATCAATCACGGAATAAAATTAAAACAAATAATCTCATTATTAGAGTCTCATGGTAGATTTTCCAAACATCTTAGTTCGAATTTAGAGTTTGTTTTAGAATTTAAGGACACGAACTTAATTTGTAAAATACGTTTGGTATGAAGTAGATCGATTGTCAATTTTGATGACAAAGGTCTTTAGCAGTTTAATAAACAGTCGTTAAACAAGTCTAATATCATAAAAAAATTTCATTTAGCATCAACTTTCATTCCAATAATCACGTAAGCCTGGATTTATTTATGCTGGTTAAAACGGAAGCTAAAGCAATGTTTGCCAGTGTCTTGGTTTCTCCGACTGCTCCGACACATTTAATAACATAAGAACATTCCAACCTTTTATTGCAGCCAGTGTCATGAAAATGTGTTTTCCAATTCGTGAATATCAAGACTCAAAATGACATGTCGGAGCAGTCGGAGAAATCTTGACCATAAAAGATAAACGCAAAACATATTTAATAAGAATTAATCCCCTGTATCAAATTGATGGGCCTAAAATATGCCGGCTCGTTAACTACCAGTCTTTTATCGTCTTTAAACCCTCAAATCATTGAAGGCGGGACCATGTTTCATCTTATCTCATTACTCCCCCCTCCCCCTAGTAGGCTGGCGGTAAGAACCCCACCCCCAACTCATTAGGTGCCGCAAGAGGCAAGTGAATTGGGACGCCTGTGCGACCTGTGTCTGTTTTGCATAGATTCCTGGTGGTTGAGGGTAAAATACTGTTCATTACTGTACTTTATGCCAGGGGATTCCTCAACGGGCGTCGGTGTGTCCCACGTTCCCAAATTTCAATTTCATTGACTTAATCAGGTAAAGTCCCTATCCAACATTTAAACATACAAGTATATTATATATAATTACAATTAGCTGCTACCAATGTATATACTTGAGTATTCTATCCACAACAAACCAACATACAAGAACAATCACATTCAGATTATGCTTAAAGTTTTAATTAGTTATATCATGATAAACATGTTATAGTAGAGTTATATCATAATAAACATGTTATAGTAGAGTTATATCATAATAAACATGTTATAATAGAGTTATATCATGATAAACATGTTATAATAGAGTTATATCATGATAAACATTTTATAGTAGAGTTATATCATGATAAACATGTTATATCATGATTAACATGTTATAATAGAGTTATATCGTGATAAACATGTTATAATAGAGTTATATTATGATAAACATGTTATAATAGAGTTATATCATGATAATCATGTTATATTAGAGTTATATCATGATAAACATGTTATAGTAGAGTTATATCATAATAAACATGTTATAATAGAGTTATATCATGATAAACATGTTATAATAGAGTTATATCATGATAAACATTTTATAGTAGAGTTATATCATGATAAACATGTTATATCATGATTAACATGTTATAATAGAGTTATATCGTGATAAACATGTTATAATAGAGTTATATTATGATAAACATGTTATAATAGAGTTATATCATGATAAACATGTTATAATAGAGTTATATCATGATAAACAAGTTATAATAGAGTTATATCATGATACACATGTTATAATAGAGAAATATCTTGGTAAACATGTTGCATTTAATTACAGAATTGTTTTTCGACTATGGTCGAACCTTGAGATACTGGTTCGTTAATCACAGAAAAACCATATAAACCATTTAGTAAAGTTGAATACAAATAGCATGTATCGAAGTTTAGTGCTTTATGATACAACGTTTTACAGTTTCTATTATCGAAACATCGGCTCATGCATTGGTTCAGAGTTGTTTTAGCATAAACGGCGATGACTGGTGGACTATGAAGAATACAGCTTCTCTTAGATATTAGCAAAGAACTGCTACAGCAGCTAGTCTGCAAACAATCTCTTCAATTTCGTACTTAGCTACTGTCATACCAACATGTAGAGGTTTAGAAATTTGCCCTTTATTATCTTGTAATCACAATCTGAATATAAATATAGAAATTTCTTAAATGTAAGGTATAATTCAATATGGCTACAGCTAATCAGGGTTGGCAAGTTTAGATAGGCCTAGAGTTCAACGGCCCACTCTTCTGCACGTAATTGAGCTAATGAAGAGGGCCAAAGTCTGCGAGGGAAATTTTACCAAGACAGCGGCGTTAGCCTACTCCTGTTCGTTTTGCAACTGTTCGGGGATCTTTAACGTGACCACCTGTAGCAAATGGGACTAGGTTTATTGTCTCATCGGAGCTAGACACTCTTTCCAAGTCAGCCCCTTCCAACCTACATCACCGACATGGGAAAGCAGGTTGAAAATCCGAGGGTATTATCTCAACCCGTTCTGTTTACGCATGAAAGCTCCATATAGTATATTATTTTTCTTATATAAATTCGATTTTAAGGTAACAAAAATACTTTTATAAATTGATATGATATCTGAGTATTTCCAAAGTAACTTTGCCACTTTGGGAAATTCGTAATTGCATTATAATGATGCATCTATTGTGTCAAAGATCGGACAGGAAAAAATGTAGTTGCTAGGTTTCGAAACCACGAACTTTGACACTTACGCAGTTGGATCCTCAAAAAATCGCAAGATATTGATTATAGAGGCTGTTAAGGCAAGATGCGTAATTAAGTAACAATCCGAGGTCGCAAATGAACCGCAATGTTTCTGACTACTACTACAGAATAAAGGATTACCAAGTTAATAGAGTAAACTAAATCAATATTTACCTGCATCAATAAGAATCAGTGTCGTTGCAGTTAGCAGCAAAACATAACACCAGAGGCTATTCACGGCTATAGATGGTTGACTCACCAAGACTCTTGACTCGTGGAAATTCTGTTAAATGCAAGATTTGATCCTGATATTTGTACAGAATTCCGAGTCTCCCACTGAACAGATGTTACTATGCATCTGTCAATATAAAACCTTGGATGCTCGCCAATATTTTTTTATCCACTTAATTCTCAAGTCTGGTCCACATAAGTTAGTTTTTTTGTACATTTTTCCATGAAACTATTGCCCTGGTATTATTGTGATATCTAGACTTACATAGACTGTTTTGAATACCATTACTCGCGCTAGATTTCGGCGTTACCGAGAAAAAGAGATTTTTCATGAACATTTCAGATGGGTTTCAATCTGACACAGGTTTCTGGATTGGGGTCGCTACCTGAAATCTCTGTGTAAGAGGATTACCGGCAGCTATAAAAGTTGTTTGTACTATACTTGGGGATAGAGACTAGGGGTGGCTTTATATATTATAATTATATTACTTTCATTGTATAAAAAAAAACCCGGGGGTAGGGACTAGGGGTGCCTTTATATATTATATTTATATTACTATCATTGTATCAAGAAACCCTAGGGCAGGGACTAGGGGTGGCTTTATATATTATATTAATATTACTATCATTGTATCAACTTTATATATTATATTATATTACTATCATTGTATCAAGAAACCCGGGGGTAGGGACTAGGGGTGGCTTTATATATTATATTTATATTACTATCATTGTATCAAGAAACCCGGGGGTAGAGACTAGGAGTGGCTTTATATATTATATTATATTACTATCATTGTATCAAGAAACCCGGGGGTAGAGACTAGGGGTGGCTTTATTTATTATATTAATATTACTATCATTGTATCAAGAAACCCGGGGGTAGGGACTAGGGGTGGCTTTATATATTATATTTATATTGCTATCATTGTATCAAGTAACCCGGGGGTAGAGACTAGGGGTGGCTTTATATATTATATTTATATTATTATCGTTGTATCAAGAAACCCGGGGGTAGAGACTAGGGGTGGCTTTATATATTATATTCATATTACTATCATTGTATCAAGTAACCCGGGGGTAGAGACTAGGAGTGGCTATATATATTATATTTATATTACTATCATTATATCAAGAAACCCGGGGGTAGAGACTAGGGGTGCCTTTATATATTATATTTATATTACTATCATTGTATCAAGTAACCCGGGGGTAGAGACTAGGGGTGGCTGTATATATTATATTGATAATCAATTACTATCATTGTATCAAGAAACCCGGGGGTAGAGAATAGGGGTGGCTTTATATATTATATTTATTTTACTATCATTGTATCAAGAAACCCGGGGGTAGAGACTAGGGGTGGCTGTATATATTATATTATATTACTATCATTGTATCAAGAAACCCGGGGGTAGAGACTAGGGGTGGCTGTATATATTATATTATATTACTATCATTGTATCAAGAAACCCGGGGGTAGAGACTAGGGGTGGCTGTATATATTATATTATATTACTATCATTGTATCAAGAAACCTGGGGGTAGAGACTAGGGGTGGCTGTATATATTATATTATATTACTATCATTGTATCAAGAAACCCGGGGGTAGAGACTAGGGGTGGCTGTATATATTATATTATATTACTATCATTGTATCAAGAAACCCATCATAATATTCTTCAAATAAACATTCAGGGTTTAGAAATGGTTTTCAATATCAATTGAAGGCTTTGTTGAAATATTATACTTTTTAAAAATTCTTAAGTGAAGGAAGAGATTCTAAATGGTTATGAACTACATTCGTGTGTGTCATTTATTGTCAGAAAAATACGTAGTTCCCTATGGCAGTGGGGATGGTAAAAAAAAATATTTTTTAAAGACTTATTATATAGGTCGATGAACAGATTTGAATGGTTATGAACTACATTCTTGAGTGCTATTTCCTTGTTAGAAGCTTACGTAGTTTCGCATGCTATTGCCATGAAAGAACCATACGTAGTTTCCTATGACAGTAGGGATGGTATCGACCCACGATGTGGGGAATCGGTAAGATCACAGTGATAATTCTAGTGTTTATTACACTGTCAGCCGTGACCATACTACGGAGATTGTTATTCCACCTCTATTAGTCTTGTTCTCTCTTTCTCTCTTCATACGATCGTCATGTACATTCAAATTAAAGGTAAGCTGATATATTTTTCAAAACATTTTCATTAATTAAATGAGTTTAAATCTGGCCTTAATTCTATTCATTAGATTGAAGGAGCACCTTCTCTATCTGTTCAACCAATCATACCTTAGTTTCAGAAACAGGAATTGTTTTAGCTTACATAATCAGTAATATTGTTCACAGCTCATCGTCGAAATTTTAGCCTTCAAATCCATGTGCATCCATAATTATTCACGTTAAAAAGTTTAAAATTCAACTCAAATTTTAGTGAGACTATGCCAAGATAGAAAACACATATACAGAAATAGACAGTGAAATTTCTAGTTTGAGGTATATTTTAAGGGATTATGCGATTTTCGTGTGTTTTCACTACTTTTTAAGACTATGAAAGGAACATGCCGCTTTTTTTAAAGGTCAAAAATTTTTTGCTCAAATTTTTTTGCTCAAAACTATACACCCAAATCTAGAGAAATGTACACTTTAACGTATCTAAAAGTTTTAACTAAAACAATCAAGCCGTTAATTTTCAAACACAAAAATATTTCAAAACATTACGTAAGGTTTTTAAGATCGTTATCCTTTGTGGAAGCTGAGAGAAAACTAATGCACAGATTTCAGTAAAATAAGCACCCAATTGTAGAGCAATATGTCTCCAAAGTATTTGAAAGGTTTTAACTAACAATATCGAGCCAATATAAAGCCAAACACCAAAACTAGGCCAGACTGCTTAATTGACTATTAGCACTGTCAGTTTTTAATAAATCCTTTTAAAACAAATTCAGTTTAAGATATATACATATTAAAAGCATACTTTAGAAATATGTTCAGGTATAATTTACGACGTTTTTGATTATGAAAGCTTTTTACTAAAAAGCAGAATACCCCTTTGAAGCACAATAAAGAGCCAAATCAATTCCCGAAAATGCCGACTGTTCCCCTTTAAATTATAGTTTTAAGATAGAAGCTAAACATTGAAACCCTATATTCCAGGTAAATCTCTACAATTATTACTCCCAATTTGTCATGCTCTGGATTTTCTTAACGAAAGTGTTATCAAGAAACCCGGGGGTAGGGACCAGGTTATGTTATATTTTTTACTTTTATTGTTTCAAGAAACCCAGGGGTAGGGACCAGGTTATGTTATATTTCTTACTTTTATTGTTTCAAGAAACCCAGGGGTAGGGACCAGGTTACGTTATATTTCTTACTTTTATTGTATCAAGAAACCCGGGGGTAGAGACTAGGAGTGGCTTTATATATTATATTATATTACTATCATTGTATCAAGAAACCCGAGGGTAGGGACTAGGGGTGGCTTTATATATTATATTATATTACTATCATTGTATCAAGAAACCCGAGGGTAGGGACTAGGGGTGGCTTTATAAATTATATTATATTACTATCATTGTATCAAGAAACCCGAGGGTAGAGACTAGGGGAGGCTTTATATATTACATTATATTACTATCATTATATCAAGAAACCCGGGGGTAGAGACTAGGAGTGGCTTTATATATTATATTATATTACTATCATTGTATCAAGAAACCCGGGGGCAGGGACTAGGGGTGGCTTTATATATTATATTATATTACTATCATTGTATCAAGAAACCCGAGGGTAGGGACTAGGGGTGGCTTTATATATTATATTATATTACTATCATTGTATCAAGAAACCCGAGGGTAGAGACTAGGAGTGGCTTTATATATTATATTATATTACTATCATTGTATCAAGAAACCCTGGGGTAGAGACTAGGGGTGGATTTATATATTATATTATATTACTATCATTGTATCAAGAAACCCGAGGGTAGAAACTAGTGGTGGCTTTATATATTATATTAATATTACTATCATTGTATCAAGAAACCCGGGGTGGGGACTAGGGGTGGCTTTATATATTATATTTATATTACTATCATTGTATCAAGAAACCCGGGGGTAGAGACAAGGGGTGGCTTTATATATTATATTAATATTACTATCATTGTATCAAGAAACCCGGGGGTAGAGATTAGGGGTGGCTTTATATATTATATTTATATTACTATCATTGTATCAAGAAACCCGGGGGTAGGGACTAGGGGTGGCTTTATATATTATATTATATTACTATCATTGTACTACGAAACCTGGGGGTATATTTCTTACTTTTTTATTTTACTGACCCGGGGGGTAAAGGCAGAAATGGACAAAGTTTCGCTTTTCCGGTTTTGTTAATGATATCAATTTGGTTTTAACATTTGATCGTTATTGTGTGATTAAAGAACTAACAGGTTCTCGTAGCGTGAAACAACACGTTTTGTTCTGTTTTGATATGTCTATATCACTCTACAATTGATATATTGAGCACTGTTTTAACAGTGGTATTTCTATATCACTCTACAATTGATATATTGAGCACTATTTTAACAGTGGTTTTTCTATATCACTTTACAATTGATATATTGAGCACTATTTTAACAGTGGTATTTCTACATCGTTCTACAATTGGTGTATTGAGCACTATTTTAACAGTGGTATTTCTACATCGTTCTACAATTGATTATTGAGCACTATTTTAACAGTGGTATTTCTACATCGTTCTACAATTGATTATTGAGCACTATTTTAACAGTGGTATTTCTACATCGTTCTACAATTGATATATTGAGCACTACTTTAACAGTGGTATTTCTACATCGTTCTACAATTGGTGTATTGAGCACTATTTTAACAGTGGTATTTCTACATCGTTCTACAATTGATTATTGAGCACTATTTTAACAGTGGTATTTCTATATCACTCTATAATTGATGTATTGAGTACTATTTTAACAGTGGTATTTCTATATCTCTCTACAATTGATGTATTGAGCACTATTTTAACATTGGTATTTCTATATCTCTCTACAATTGATGTATTGAGCACTATTTTAACAGTGGTATTTCTATATCACTCTATAATTGATGTATTGAGTACTATTTTAACAGTGGTATTTCTATATCTCTCTACAATTGATGTATTGAGCACTATTT